GATATGAAGTAAAACACCAAAGATAACACAGCAAATTAGTAGCAAAGCAGGGATTCTAACGTAGATCAGTATAATTCCCAAGCACCTATGACCCTTAGTTTTATGTTATAAAATGGAGAAATTACTTACCCACCTCAGGGCATTGTGGTGGAGACTAAGTATACAATATGGGAAGTATTTAGCATTATGCCTGTCCACTTCCCAAAATCCAGTGGTGGCAATGTTTTATAAGGGAAAAAGTTCCTAAATACTCCTTACCTATTTCAAAGCAGAAATATTCTAAGTCTCATTCAATACACAAAAAGCAAGTATTACCTGATTAACATATATATGATATAAATATAAAAGCAAGGAAAAGCAACATATTCTATCTCATTTTTGAACCCTAACCTACTATTGATCTTTTAGAGCATCCAAGATCAAAATATATCAATGTATCAAAAGGTAGGAGAAAAGAATATTGAATCCGGAAATCTTAATTCATTATAGCTTACTGGAACACTCCCAACATAACTTAATCAATCATGGTACCTTTAAAAACAAATACATTCCGCAGGAAACACAGATTTGGACAGAGACAGAGACAACAGGCATAACCTTTCTATATTAAGTTGCTTTGTTCTTTGAAGATAGACCTTAATTCTCACCTATAAGTAGCCTAAAAAAGATAGAGTGGTCGGAGTAAAATGAGGCTCAAACAAAAAGGTGCTGTTAATTACTTGTAAATGTATACTCCCGTTAGTTTCCTTATTTATTTTTCCTTTTCTTTTTGATACACAATCATGACACTTGTCTGTGATAGGTGTGAAGCAGACAAATCAGATTTTTTTGTTGTTGTTTTAAATTTTCTAACAAATAAGAATTATATGTAAAAGTACATTAGGTGTAAACATAAACTTAAGTGCTGTGACTCTCAATGGAGCTTGATTTTACATCAAGCCCATCTGGTGTTATATTAGGGTGGTTCCTATGGAAATCCAACTAAGGGTGACTGCCAAACTAAGCTATAGAAGACAACTTAGAAAGCCAGGGAGATTCATAACATAAGTTGTATTTTTAAAAGGGCATTAGAACACCCGCTTGACAAGATTACCTGATGTTGCTCCACCCTCCTAATAATTCTCTTCTATTTCTGTAATACTGTTTTTGTCAGTAAAGCATGGGTCAGTATTGGACACAGCAGATACCTTCGGAGGATAACACTGTAGAGACACCAGTTATCTAACCTACAAGATAATATCCCAGTGTTATGTCCCAACCCTGCGAACTGTCTTTTCTAAGTGACCTAAGAGGTCAATTGATTTCTTCATGCCTCAATTTCCACATATGAGAAATAGAAATCATAATACACTTCTGCTTCACTAGGCTCTAAAAATGGAAACTAGCTAAGAAAAAAATGAATGTGAAGCACTATGAAAAGAATAAACTAGATTCTCTGACCTGATTATTGGTCAGAGCCTTGTAAAACTAGAATTACCACTTCTTCCAATTCCATACATGCCACCTGGTCATCAGACTGACTGATAACTAGTAGTGACTGTATAGTTGATCCACCTAAGGGTTTTAAAGTAACAGGAACAAATTTTGTATCAGGATGTATTTTTATACCATTTAAGGAATCGCCTGCAAACAAAAATTACTTATTGGCACTACAAAAGTAGGTATAAGAAAAAAATAACTTTACTTACGAACTTTGAAAACAGTCAGCTGCAATCTGAAACTGATCCTGAAACAACTATGCAAGAATTGGAAATGAGCTAACCCAGAAACAGAAGGAATCGCAAAGTAAGTTTCATCTGATGGGCCAAAACACAATATGGATTATTTTTATATTGTTCTGTCTGAGTTGTCTATCTCAGACTCTTAACTCCCAAATTCTATTTTTAAAATCACTTAACACTGTATATTTCCAGTAGCCATCAAGGCATCTGCTGTCATCCCTGACACGGAAGATTGTCAGCAAACCCAATATATACACTAATGATCTCAGGCAACAATGCCCATCCTCTTACCAAAGAGATCCTTAATCCAGAAGGAAAAGTCTAAAGTTCTCTATAAAAATGCATTCTAAAACACAGGGAGTAGTCATTGTAAAATGTTTGGATCACCAGTATCTTTTATTTCTTTTAAGGTTATCATATACACCAAATTTTAAAACAAAAACTGTCAGGCATAACACTTTAAGTTCTCTCCCAAGTTTCAGATACTCTACTCCAGCACTGTCAAACACTAAGAACTGTAGTCATTATTTTTTATATGATAACTGGCAGCAAGTTGTACAGATCCCCTTCATCTTGGAATACACAACAAATACCCCTAAACAAATGACTAGGACCTTACAGTGATACTGACCACTTTTCTAAAGCCAAAGTAAATGGGCAGTCACACCTTTCTGATACTTTATAGGCAGAATGTTCGAATATAAAACTCAAAGGTTTTATTCCTTTTTTTTAAAACTATATTAAAATAATTCTTTTTTCCCCCCTTACACATATCCCTCTCTTTCCTGCTACTAGAGACTGTCTTATTCTATCATAAAGGTTTTCACATTTACTTTTGGCTTAATACTTTCAATCAAACTCATAATTCCATTTTTGGAAGCAGCAGCCTTCCAGGAAGTATATTTGAAGATATTGTTAAAATGCAGAAAGTAAGTTACTTTCATTTAACAAGTGAACAATGTGTGAAAGGGAATAAGGAAAACCAACGATCTCAGACACAAGAGATTTTTCAGGCCCTACACACCCCAAAATGATTCCAAGTCACAAAAATAAATAAATAAATAAAACATGTGAGTGACCGATTTTCTAGGTCTCTGTTCTAAGAGACAAGAGTCCCTTCTAACTCTATTTACTTTGGCAATCTAAAATGCTGATATTCTCCTAGATCTAACAGAGAGGAAAAATGGGTATCTTCTCCATCTAACACCTAAGTGGGTAACCTAGATACTGTAAATAGAGGCTACATAAAGGATGCAACAGACAGCTCTGATGTGAGCGCCAAAATAGTTAACCTGCAACTCTTTGGAAAAGAACCTGAAAACACATGCAGCTTAGCCAAAAATGGTACTAATATGGAATTGCCATAGGCTAGTAAATTTAAAAAACAACACAAAAACCCTTTACCAAACATGAGTTTACAGTTGTTGGGTGAGAAAAGCTCCAATGTCAAAAGCGCAGTTGTTATTTGTTCAAATTAATCATGTCTGTACTCAGCACTGTTTATTTTAAAAGATGAGTAAACTGCTTTCTTGAAGCAAGTATTCTAAAAGCAGAATCAAATCCATAAGTAAAAGAGACTACTTGCTAGTTAACAAGCATTTTCCTAGTGATATTCTGGTGGTGATAAGAGATGACAATCAACTCTTTGATTAATAGTTACTCTCTACTCCATATATTCCATGTTTCTAAAGACAGCAGTCAAATATTAAACAAACAAAAAATACATATAAATCTATCTTTACTCATTACAAAATTATATTAAAAAGTTTCTGAGAAATAAAAGCATATTCTACCAAAGAACAAGTATCACTAAATGTTAAACTGTAAAAATTCTACTGCCTACATTGTTACAGCAGTATAACTTTTATCAAATCAATAAGCAAAAAATAAATTAATGCTACAAGATTATTAAGATTAGCACTATAATGTACTATATTTTCACTTGATAACTTTATTAGTTTTTCCTTTTTATGTGATAAAGGAATTTCAAGGATTGCTTGTACAATGAAATTTTCTGGGTAAGTTCTTCCCATTCATAAAAAGGAACAAAGTTTTTAGATCAAGTAAATTCAAATAGTTTTGCATAATTTCAAGTTGATGGCTAAAATCACGTAAAGTTAATGAACTGCAAAATGTATGCAAGAGTAATTTTTATGCTTTTTCCTTATAATTCAATCTTATTAATTATAAAGCTTATAGATTTACAATAATTTAAGTCGGGTTGTAAAAGAGAAGAGAAAAAGAAAATTGTTCTTTACGATAATCAGAAATAAGCTAAGGACAGACTTATAATTAACTAGATGATTCAGTTTTCTTCAGTTGTTAAATCTTCAAAAAAGAAAGGGAGTAAAGATCTTTCCTTCACGTATCATCCATAGAAAAGTTGTAAATTAAATTAAATTTGCATATAAATCAGATGTCCTTTCTATATAAGAATAAAATACATATCAAAAGTACGAAGGAAACAAGATTTCAAACTGCTTTTGAGGAGGAGTTAATAGACCACTGGCACTTGATAACTAACCTGGTAAAACATAATTAAGAGAAGACAAACCATAGTCTTAATAAGTCAAAGTATTTTGTCTTCTGTCACTGACAGCATGTAAACTGCTTTTTTATTATACAAACATTGTACAGTACCTTTTATCAAATACAGCACCTGAAACTACCTATTCCTGCAAGCTCAAAACAACCTTCCAAATTTTTTCAGTCCTGCCCTGGACAATCTAAAACAAAATGCTTCCATCTTTGTTAGAGAAACAGATGTAAATGACTTCCATATAGTTTCAATCACACTTCACTTCCAAGGAGAATCACACTTCTTCCACACTTTGGAGGAGAAACTTGCACTTTTTTTTCTTTTTAAAAAAAGCAAGTGACACTACAATTCTACCACTGATGACTCTACTCTGTACAAAGGCAATATAAAATTAGTTCATTTTTTTACTTTTGGAAATGGCATTTCCATATTTTTCATCCAACAACAACAAAAAATCCGGGCATAAACCTGGCAAGCTCCAACAATAATCAACAAATCCTAGCATTTCTTACCTGATACAGGTAAGCACCAGCTCCCAAATGCCACCTTGGGATAGTTCAGACTAGTAAGCAGGCTCATGTTTTACGCCACTAGAATGAACAGGAACAAATCTGTGTTGTTCTTTCTTTAGCAAAATCTATAGCAGCAGCTATACCACAATGTGAGCAGACCCTACAGAACTAACAAATTCAAATCTGCCACTAGAGAAATAGAAAAAAGATCATAAAATGAAGACTTACTGCTTGTCATGTGACTTGGAGAGGCATGTTGTCCATTGGGTGTGCCTGAGGTGAGGTCAATTGCCATATTGGAGTGTTCTCTTTCAGGTGAAAGCTCATTGTCACCTGTTTTCACAAAAGAAAGTCTTTTAGTCTCACTTCATTTTCACATAAAATCTAATTACTAAGTTTGCCTCATTCGCACAGTAGCATGCATCGTGGAATTTTTTTAAGTAACACATTCTTCCCTTAAGAGAGACTATAAAGGAAATAAATTCACAGTAAATGAATGAAATGACAAAAAGTCATCAGTCCACAATAACAAAAAATTTTAAAAACTTTATTTTCATATACTCTTACATGTCAAACAAGGGAAAATAAAATAATTTCTAAAGTATCTTTAATTGAATAAAAATAAGTTTTGCTTTAACATCTGCTTTAATTATTCAACATAAAGTATTTACAATGAGCATTTTCCAAAATTCCAAAATGCTGTTACAAAGTTGGATGTTTGAAAAGAGTACTAAAAAAAAAAAAAAAGAAGAAGAAGAAGAAGAAGAAAGAAAAAAGTCACCTTAAAGAAACTAATTCCTTCACCTCATGTGTCTGGGAAAAATAGGTTATAGAGTAGTAAAAATTCTGTACATACCATACTAGTAGGTATATATGTATACATACATATATATGTATATATAACATACATATATATTTAGACTGACATATTCTAAGCAAAAGGAAAATCCAATTAAATAAAACAGTGTTAATATGCTAAGGTATAGACTGAACTATTATCCTTAATTTTACTAAATGGTAAGTATAGTTCTATATTTCCTTCTTTTATTGCTTCTGTGTTATTATTTTCTCAAACTCATTTAAAGGTGAAATTGTGAACAGAAAGTAAAAGTACAGAGTTCTTAATAAAATCTTATAATTCAGGAATTAAGATACAGGTAATAGGAAGCTAACTTTATTGCCAGCAACAAATAAATGCAAAGGAATACTTACACGTTATATAGCCATCAATAGTCTCTGTTTCCATAGTCAAAGTGCAGTGCTGCAAAACAAGACATTACACCCTTAACACAATGATTCCTTTCGACATCTGCCATTAAATTCTTAACTTAGTTGAAGCTCCAAGCAGTTAGTCCATGTTGCCACTGCAACCTGTACCCAAGAAACACACTCCAGTGCACTGTATGTGCTCCTTTCAAGTTACTGAACTGTTTCTGCAAATGATCTGATTCCTGCTGGAGATAGGATAGGGAAGATAAGTGTGCTGTGCAATGGGCTGTAGCAAGAAAGGAATCACTCTCTTCATCAAAATTTACATGTTTTAGAGAGATGGGGGGAAAAAAAGCAGGAGTAGACCTAGGAGTTGCCAGCGTTCACTGGGATTTAAGTATTTTACCATTCAAGACTTCCCACAGTCACACTGCAGTTTGAGGATCTCCCCAGTATACAGACAGCTCTATTCACAATTGTTGCAAGTTGGTTCATCATGTTCTAATAAGGAGGGGAGGACAAATAAACATAACAAAACAAAACAAAACAAAAAACTTAGTGCCCAACTGTGTCTTGAAGACTTTCTGCTGTAGTTGGCCAACTCTCCAACTTGTATTGACATTCTTGCCTACCCCGAGTTCTGTGTAAGCACCTGTTCAATGTAACCTTAATTTCCTGCCAGACCATGGCTGGCTATAAAAGCCAAACCTACTTAATACATTCAGATTTTTAAAATTTCACAAACTTTTGGCTGTGCCGGAGGGAGTCACTTTTTTTCAAGTTTGGGGATTGATATTCATGCACCAATGACACAAAACAGAACTTAATTCTCAGAAACAAAAGTAAATTGTATGACGTGACACCCCCTAGCTTTGATTCACATAATGAAAAGATCGATAATCCAACTGTATTCTTTGAAGGAAAAAGTTTAAGAATTGACAAGTTCTGAAGAAAATTTTACTTATTTTTTTTCCGTTTGGCCCTGGTCCTTTTTGCCTTTAGTTTCAAAACTCTCACTGCACCAGCAGCTAAATTATTCACAATGAGCCATTTCTGTATTGATCGCCAAGTATATTTAGCCCAGGCTCCTGGAATTTCTCCATTACTTACTGGAAAACAGGCAGCTTCACTTCTAGTCTCCAAAACCACTTCCCTTCTCCCTCCCCTCCCCTTCACCACCACCCTCCTGCACCCCCCCCAAAAAAAACTTTTCTTTCTTTCTTTATGGAATAATCAGATCAAATTCCCAACTCACTCACTGCATAGCACTTAAATTTCAACCTGCTGTACAGTTATCAATTTCTTTCAAATATGATTACATAAGGCTTTAAAGAAAGGGACCCGTAAAGTTTAAAGGGGGAGCAGTTTTTCGGATATTTTACAAATGAGTTTATCTCTTTAAAAATGTACACATTTAACATACACATATTAAAAAGAAAGAAACGTCAGGGAGAAGCGAAAGAAGTCTGCCACATCAATGAAATGGTTATTAACCCTCAGAGAAGGAGAGGAAGAAAAAGGAGAAAGAGAAACGAAATGTACATACAAAAGAAATTGTCCTTTGATTAAAAAAGATTCACCATTTCCAGCTCTGTCGGGAGATCTCAGCTTCTTCTAACCCCTCAAAGAGGAGGTGACAATGTCGGGCTGAAGATAAACGAAGAGAGAAAGGAAGAAGTTTTTGTGTTTCCCCCCTTCTCTCTTTCCCTCCCTGGCCCCCTCCAAGCCAAGCCCCCTGCAGAGTTCAAGGCGAGGAGGAAGGAAAAGCACTTTACAGGTGGGTCATTCCAAGCCCAAATCCAGCAAACAGATCGGCTGATAAACAAAACCAAGGAATGAGAGAGAAGGAACACCCCCCTTCTCCTCCTCCTCCTTCCACCCCTCCCCCTCGTCCCTTTGGGATGGTCTAGTAGGAAAAGTCACTCAGGAATGGCACCACGTACTTTCAGGAAAGAGGAAAAAAGAAAGAGAGAGAGGAGAGGTCAGTCAGTGCCACGGCAATGCGATTAACAAGAAGAGAAAAAACTTGATCCACCGGTTCCTTAAGAATCGACCAAAAGCTAAGACAAGAAAACTGAAAGAAAAAAGGGGAGGGGGGGCCGGCGGGGAGGGACAGTCAGGCAGAACCCAGTGAGGAACCTAGGCCAACTTCACAGCACTGTTTTTGGCCTCTGGCACAAAAATAAAATTAAAAAAGGAAAAAAAAATAAATCTTAATTCCATCTCTTTCACCCATACTAGAACCTGTCAAAGTGATTTAACTGCTGCCTTTTTACATGTGTCATACCAGTTTTGGGAGGGGGTTGCTTTTTTTTTTTTTTTCAATTCCAACAGGATCTGGATATTACCTGCTATCTAGACAGCTGCAATTTATGCAAAGCTATCCAATCTTTCTCCTTGGAATTCAAGTTAAAACAAAGCAAAACAAGTCCAAATCCATGACAGCTACAGAGATGAGAACTGATTAATCGATTAATATCCCAGAAACAGATTACAGAAAGGGGATGATAAATTAAGGCAGAGGACATCATCTCCAACACGATCCCCTGAGCGTCCTTTACAAAAATCATTACCCTAATCATAACCACAGCCCCATCTCTCCCAGAGAAAAACACCTACATTATTATTATTATTACTGGTTAACAGCAACAAGTCATTTGATCACAACACAGTGCAAAACGAGATGCTATATCATTACACTTAACTTTGAAAACACTCCCCCCTTTGCAAGCCATACACAAATTTATATATCATCTAGGAATCAGAAGACAAATAAAACAAGAGCTGTTCTTCCCCACGCAAAAAGCCAAGCGGAGATTTACCTCAGCAGTGCATGCAGTAAAATAATCCCATCACCCTTTTGTTTGTGTTTACTGTTAGTGTGTCCTCTCTCTTTCTTTCTTTCCTGTGCCTAACGTGTGTTTGTGCACTGCAGTTGGTGGTAGAAACTAAGGCAGTGGATCTGTAGCTAAGGGTAATCCTGTTTTTACTTCCTCCATCTTCAGCGAGGAGCAGGGTTAGCCCGGGACAGCTGGTCAAACCCCGAGAAACCGATCCGGCGGAGCCCGAGCACATCTCCCCCGCCGGCCGGGCTCGCGCAGACGCCCGCGGGCGGAGGGCGGAGGGCGGGCGGACGGACTGGCGGGCGAGCGAGCGGGAGGGCGGGCGGAGGGGGCCCCCCGGGCGTGCGTGCGTGCGTGCGTGCGCGCGCGTGCGTGTGTGCGGGGCCCGGGAGCCGGCGCGAGTGTGAGAGTGTGCGCGCGCGTGTGTGCGTATGTGTGTGTGTGTGTGTGTGTGTGTGTGTGTGCGTGTGCGCGTGTGCGTGTGTGTGTTCGCCAGCGCGTGTGCGCGTGTCTGCGCGCTCAGCCGCTCGGCGCGCTCGGCAATCGATTACAGGACAAGTGCTGCTGCCCCGGCGGCTCCGCGACGCGCGCCCTCCTTGGCGCCCACCGCGCGCTCGGGGCCGCGGCGCTACTCCCCGTTCCCCCCCACCTTCCTCCCTCTCCCCAGTGTCCACCCTGCCCCCCCAGCCCTTCAGTCCCCGACGGTCGGCCCCGCCCCCAACGAGAAGGCCAGGTAACCTGCGCCCCGCGGTGCTGCGGCCACCCCCTCCCCCCCACCCCGAGTCACAATAAATCTCACGTTTTCTGCCAGCGGAGAAGGAAGGATTGGAGCGGAGAAGGGAGGTTCATTTCGGCCGCGTGAAGTTTTCTTCCCAACTGGGATCGGTGTGGGGCCGGGCGCCCGACAGGAGCGCGGATCGGCCGTGGCCCGAGCGAGCCCCGTGCGCCCCGGACCCCTCCGCTCACCCGTGGCCGCTGGGCAGAGAACTCCGCGCGCGCTTGCACTTCGCGGCCCGGGTGGACCCGGACTCCGGGCAGGGTAGAGGGGCCCTCGGGGACGCACCGAGGAAGAAATTCAGGTCTGAGACGAAGCTCCACTATTACTATTTTGAAACTGCTTTCCAGTGCAAGTTTAAAATTAGAGTGTTTACTTTTTTTTCTCCCCCGGGCATGTGGCACATGCACCCAAGTCAAAGGAATGGATGAAGGGTCCAAAAAGTTGTCCTTGAAGTGTTGCCCAGCAGAATCATCAATCACATCTACTTTATTTGAGAAGAAATGTGTATGAATCGTCTAAGAAAAACAAATGTGTATTCTCTTCTACAAATAGTAGCATTAAGAATCTTTCTTGACCACATTTGCAGAAAGAGGGAATGGAGACTTCCATAATTAAAGGGAAAAGGAAAATGAAAGGAGCTGAAAATACTGAACTGTGTAGCCTGGGTGGGTTAAGTTTGAAAACACATGAAATTATCAGGACTGCCAAACAGCATTTCTGAGAAACCGTATCACACAGATTGCGAAGAAAATCAATGCTGAAAGAGTAGGAGCAGGCACTGTGCGCCTCCTACTCCTTTTAAGAATCCCAGAAATAGTTGCTGAGGTTTTTCCTTTTTTTTTTTTTTTTTCTGCTGAGGAAAGAGAAATGACACGTTGAAAATAAAAGCATCAACTATACTTCGACATCGCTCTGTGTGGGGAAATTTGTGTTCCTTAGATTTTGGTGTGAAGAAAGACTTCATTCACAATGATAGGCACTGAATAGTGGAAACCATACAACTTGGATAATATGTTTAAATTTTTATAAGGAATTGCTTTTTCAAGGTTCATTCCATACATTGTATTTGTGAAACAGTTGTACCAATAGGCACATTTTTTCCCCTTTAATTAACGAGAATGATGGTGCCACAGAGCAAACAAAATTAACCAATTTACATTGGAAAGAAAATTTGAGCTCAGGCTTAGAACTTTTTGATGTTTTAAGTAAAGTTTCCATATCTGTGAGTTAGGTATTGATAACGCAAATTTTTAACTTGCCAGTTATCTAAATAACATTAATTTCCCTAAAGTCATGTTTGGAAAGACCAAACCCACAAATAATTCTGATCACCGCAATAGACAGCAAAGCTTTTAATCTTTGCCTCAGAAAATTGGAATGTTGTTTATATTTATAAAGGGTAACATAACTTCTCTAATTTTGCCTAAATCCCTCTTAAAAACTAAGCTCAACTATTGAAGGATCTGCAAAGTTATGAGATATTTTAAACAATTGAATTCTTGGTAGAAGAGAAGCTATCTTCAAATCGTACGGATTCATCCTCAAGTTCCCCCAATGTTACCATATTTCATATGATCCTTGCTCCTGGCTGAGTACATCTTAATTTAGCTCCCTTGAAGCCTGTCCTTTTAATGAGATGCTTTCTTTGGCTCCCAGTCACGAGAGGCACACTTTCTCCCTCTAGTGGTTAAGTCTTCAAATCAGATAGTTTACCACCACGGGTCACCCTGTTTTCCCCAATAGTGAGATATTGGGGAGAGGATGAAGCCTAGATTTTTTTTTTTTTTAAGAGTGGCAAAGATTCTTACACCTAGAATTAGAATACCTTGGCACACAAGGTGTGCCTTTTTTAACATCCCGTATTCTCATCTCATTTGCAGAGAAGTCATGATTGTGTGTACATACTAAGTTTGGGGGTTTGTTTCATGCCTCTGAAGTCTGTAGTTATGGCATTAAGACTCATATGAAATTGACTCTTTGGAAGGAAACCTTGTATAAACTGTAGTAATTTGCTTTGTTCAAAATTTCTCTCTACAGTTTTTCGATAGTGGTTAAAGGATGCATTTATTCATGTCTTTCACCATCACCATACTGTAGGAATTTTGTGAAACACATGTATAGTTAAACTGTGCATGAAAACATACCATGAGGGAAGGGGAGTACCATATTCTTTGGCCACTGTATCTGGGTGAGGAGTTAAATTTTCACTTTGGGTGGGGGGAGACAAGGTGGCTAGAAAATATAACTGACCTCTACCATTTTTCACATGGCTGGATCTTTTTCATCCTTTCTCTCCTGGCCCTATGGAAACTGTTCTTCCTTAGCACCAATTCTCCAACATCTTGCATATTTTCTTTCTAACACAATTGTATGAATTCTTCATAAGACAATTTTATCCACATGTTGAGTTTTAAAATAAAATCTAGCCCCCTACTAGAATGTGATCTTTTAAAGGACAAGGATTGTGTCTGTCCTGTTGATCATATTTTCCTATAACAAGCAAAGTATTTGGACAAGTTGTTACTCAATAAAAATTTATTCAGTGAATACATTGAAATCACATACTCACCTATCAGCTCTGGCTTATGGTCCACGTGAAGGATGTGAATCTCTTCCTAGATATTGTCAAGTACATTTTAAAAATATATAAGAGGAAATGTTATTACTCCTTCATTTCATAAATTATTTCCTCTCACTACCTGACAGTTCAAAAACCTGGCTATTAAGGAATGCAGCAGATTTAATTTTATAACCACTAAATACAAATAGCAAAAGGAAGAATTTCTTACAAGGAAGTGTAGCTAAAAGGTGTATTGTGGAGTATTAGTTTGTTTTCTTTGTGTAGTTTGTGTTACCTGTTTTAGATTTAAAAGCAATTCCCTTTAAAGGAGCTTGATAAAATCTCATTCTTGTTCACTCAGTAATTGACTCCATGTTTTTTAAGTTTTGTTTTTTTTTGGGGGGGGTATGTGGGGGTGGGATTTAGAGAATTCCAGCTCTTTCCTAATAGCAAAGAAATTATTGGAAGGTAACTATATGCTAATTTTTATTTCAGTGGTTTTATAGTGTTTAATGTAACACATCATTACACAAAGTAGATGCTTCAAAATAACTCAAATCCCTGGAAAAGTTGAGAAGCATTAAAACTGATAACTGGTTTCATCTTTGTCAGTTGTTATTATTCTTGACTTTGAAGTACTGCTGTCTTTTTAAGAGGGTTATTGAACAATGGTCTTACTTTCTCCTGTCCACCTAGATTGGCATGGAAGAAGCAAGGAAGCCAGAAATGGAGCCATAGTTTAAAAGAAAACACTCTGAGATCCAAAATCCATTTCATAAGTAAGCATATTAATACCTCCCCACTTTTCCGCTCTGAGTACATTGATACTCTAGGGTCTTTCTGGCATCTGAGTCCTGCATGGGAAGGGTCTTCTCATTCTTTCAACAATTCTTAAGAGTCACTTTGCAGTTAGATAAAAGGCTCTTGTGCAAATTTTCATTTTTCTGAAAAATGTAACATTATGACTTAAATTCACACTTTGATAGAGTAATAGCAGATTTCTTCTAGAGAGCACATTTTGATATGTAACAAATGATAAACTAACTCCATCCCAGATGAGAATTATAAATTGAGGCAAACAAGGAATGTGGACCAAGGAGATTCCTAAATGAAAAATTTAGAAAAAAACTTAAAAGCACATTTTCCTTTTATTAAGGCTTTGTGCTTGTTAAGCAGGAGTTCTTAACTACTTTAGTTGCTCTATCATCCCCAAAACAGGCATTTTTAGAGATATTAAAAATCTATCATAGTTGCTTTTAAAATGTAGATTTTTTTTTCAGCATTTGAGGAACTGAGCTCTATGTGGAACTTCAAGCTTGGTCAGGTGAGCTTGGTCAGGTGGTGATGCTCAAAAACCCTGTGTAAAAGGCATTGGGAAGAACATTTTCTAACCCTAAAATTTTAGTGCATGAACAGTACAGTGAAGCTATTGGAATCCTCAAGAAAGTGTTAATACAAAAAAAGAAAATTTTTTTTCTTTCAACATTGCAAAAACATGGCTTTCAAACAGGATAATATTAAAATAGGTGTTTCTTAGTGAGCATTAATTTAGATAAAAGATAAAAACCGCTCTCAATAATCCAGATTTCTTTTTTTTTGATGGCACTGTTTGTTGAACTCAGGGCCTCATGCTTGTTGGGCAGGTGGTCAGTCCATTAGTTCTCCAGAACATTTCTTTAACAACTAGATGTAAGAGACTAAGAAACTTGTTTTTCAAGGGATAAGAAGGAAAATCCAAAATGATCATTTCACTCTGAAATTGGGATGGGTAAAATAGGACTGACTAGACTATAGCTCCATCCTACCAAAGGTCAGATTCTGCTAGATGGATCATACTCTAAAAAAGTGAAGACAAGTTGCATCTCAGGGGAAACCTTTTGTAGTCAAGCCAGCATCAATAGCAGTGTGATCCTTTTTCTTCAATTCTGTGAAATACATGTGGAAGTACATGCCCAATGTTTGTGGGAAGCTTCAAATCTTTATAAACCAACATTCTTTCATAGTATGACAGTCTACTTAGTTACTTAAACAATCCTCCATAGGCTGAAAAAAGTACAAGAATGTTAGGTATAACAGAAACTGAAGAATCCAGGGATACCATTGTCCCTCTTTTTTATAGCCAGATGGTGGTAAGCTAGAAAATTAAGATCCCTGTAGGGATAGAACTGGAGAATCATTTGTTGTTTGATAACTCTGAAAGAGAGAGTATGCTATGGAAAAGGGATTTGAATCAAAGAAAGGTTATTTACAGGTAGTAAAGTCAAATGTCATTTTCCCCCAATTCACAAAACATGTGGTTTTAGCAAAAGGTTAGCTTAATATAGAAGTTAGTGTGGCATTTTGAACTATTTCAAGATATAATATATGAAGAAAGCATAACACCATCAGTGTCTTTTCTCCAGAAGCTGTGTTCAAGCTTAAGAAAGGAACTTAAAAACTGATGTCATGGTGAAGTACTAGACATCTGGGAAAGTCCCACTCAGTAGACTAAGAATATCATTAAAACTCAAATGAACTGTATTCTAGAAACAGCTATACTTGGAAGACTGCATTTCTAAGTGTACTATTATTGAGAAATGACTCCAATAAATGTATTTTAGATTAATGATGTAACTGGTTTCAGTGAAATTAGTATCAGTGGAACTAGGGAAGTCATACATATCATCATTATCATTAAAGGCATTTATGACAGGCACCAGGGTAAGCAGGCTACATACATTTTCTCATTTAGCATTCATTTTCATTTTTAACAGGTAATATTATCCTTGTTTTACCATGAA